GATAATAGAAGTGATTATTACTTGTATTTATTATCCAAACAAAAACTGTTTTAGATTTAAACATTCTCCATAACTATTTACAACTCAAACACTGCACTAGTTCATGGGAACCAATACATGAGACCGACTCTTAGCAAAAGTGAGAACAGCCTAATTTCACTATGTAAATTGAGGGAATTATGAAAATGTAAACAGTGAAAATTAAGAGATTTAAAAATTAATTTCCCCCATATTTTTACTTAGCTGGGACTGCTTGTGGGCTTACAGTTAAGTACATGCATAGGTGTTTGGAGGTTCATGGTATTAAGCAAACCAAATAAGGAGCCTAATCTGTTACAATGTGTTACTTTGATAAGAGTCAAGTTAACAGGCTCGTACAACAGATAATGTTAGAAACTGTTTTCCATTTGGTTTAGACCAACTGCCAGCCTTGACCCAGGCACTAACTGTGAAAATAAGTCCTGCAGGGACACGGGGGAGGGGTGTTGTAAAATAATTTTATTTTCAGACTTCAGAGTGTGTATCACGCAAAAAATGGGGCAGCCCAAAGTTCCTTTGTAGCCACTGTAAGGAGCAGCCCATTCAAAATGGGTGAGTCCCAAAGGTCAGACCTTGCCAATGACCCTTTCATTGCTGTAGCCCTGGTTCGCCAAGGATCTCTAAGCGCGGGGCTCACCCCGCTTTACTAAGGGGAAACTGAGGCACGGTGGGGTGCGGTCAATGGCCTGAGGAGCTACGCAGCGGTCTCATGGGTTAGGCGGTAAGGGGTGTGGCGCGGTGGCGGAAGAGATCTCAGGGGCACCTGGGGACCGGAGGTTTCCGAAGCGGGCGGAGACGCTCGGGCTCACAGGCGGGGGGAGCGGGTCAGAGAGGAGGAGGCGGCGGCGGCCCGCCGGGAGGTTACACCGGAGTCTCAGGGGCGATCGGGGTCTAGGGCGGAGCTCTCACGGGGGGGGAGGGGGAGGTTGCCAGGCGATACCTGAGCAGGGCGGAGCAGCACCGGAACCACCGGCTACGCACAGCGGCCGCCATCTCCTCGGGACTAGAGCAGGGCGGCGGCGCGCCGGAAGTGACGTAACACCCGCCCCCAACGGCGTGGGGCTCCGCCTCCTGGAGACTCGCCCTGCCCTTAGCGGCGCAGCCGCAGTGGTCTGGTCAGCCGGGGGAGGGGAGCGGAGCCGCTGAGCGCTGCTAATAGCTGGGAGGGAGGGGGTGTCTCCAGAGTCCAGCCCCGCCCCTCGGAGGGAGGGGGAGGAGCGGGGACCCAGAGTGCTCAGGGGAGGAGGCGGAGAAGAGGCAGGGCGGGGGCGGGGACTGGGGGGGCAGGAGGTGGGGCCGGGAGGCGGGGGCGGGGACTGGGGGGGGCAGGGGGTGGGGCCGGGAGGCGGGGGCGGGGACTGGGGGGGCCGGGAGGCGGGGCCGGGAGGGGGACAAGGGGCGGGGCCGAGCACCCACCCGGCAGAGGGGAAGCCGGCGCCTGGGACCCCAGTTTGAGAGCAGCCGCTGATAGTTATTGCGAGTCGGGCCTGTCTGCACCTGCCTGACAGTCATTTCCTCTAGACCCTGTCGCCCTAGGTTGCTTTCAGCCTGTCCTGTGAACTGTGTCAAAATCCGGCTCTCCATGTCCCGCTTCCCCTCTAGCCGCTAGCCCGGTAACCCTTCGGAGAAGGGAGGTTGGTTTGCCATGATTTGTTCTTGTTACATACATGCTGGCTATTACTTGGAACCCTGTTATCCTGTAGGTGCTTACAAATGGATTGTTTAATAATTTGTTCCAGGTAGCGAAATTCGCCTGTCAGGGCTAGCGTTCCCGAGGTCGTCTTTGTCCCTGGTTTGAAAGATCGGTACGCTGGCCTCCTCCAGTCCTCTGGCACCTCACTCTTCCTGCGTGCCTTTTCAAAGATCATTGCTACAAGCTCCAAGATTGCTTCAGCTAGTTTCTTAAGTACTTAGCTGTCTTCACTAGCTCTAACTTATCTTAATCTTAATTATGGTAAGTATCTGGGCACACTTAACATTTTTCATGAAGACTGAAGCAAAAGAGGCATTAAACTCCTCAGCCTTCTTGATGTCATCTGTTATTTGCTCGTCTTTCCTGCTTAGTAGAGCACCTACACGGTCTCTTGTGCCTAATGTAGTTAGAGACTCGCTTCTTCCTGTCTTTTATGTCTCTTGCTAGGTGTAACTAATTTGTGCTGTTCTGATTTTGCCAATACGTGTTTGTGCTGTTGATTTGTACTCAGCAATTTGTCCATGTTTTCACTTTTTGTAGGATGCCGTTTTGACTTTTAGGTCATTAAAGAACTGATGGAGTCATATTGGCCTCTTACTAGTCTGCCTAGCTCTCCTTCACATTGGGATAATTTGCTGTTGTGCCTTTAATATTGTCCTATTGAGAAATTGTCAATGCGTCTGAACTTTTTCCCATATGGTTTGGTTTGATAACTACTATTTCTCCTGTCTATGCTGCCCTCTTGGTATTCTTGCAAATAGATCTGTTTTTTTCCCCCCTTTTCTTTTTTGTTAAGCTGGATTGATGCCATAAAAATGAGTTAGTAGGAATCAACACAAACAAGAGGCCGTCTTTCTTTCAAAAGGGAAATAACTTAGTCTTGCTCATCTGATTTAAAGTATACATATATGTAAAGAGCATTTAGAGGTTGAAATGGATAGCACAAATGTGGAATCTTGTCTGTACAAGTAAAAAGTAGTGACAGGAATCGCAGGAGGAGAATGTGCTCCTAAATCAGATTTGTTCTGTGTGCCCACCAGGTTTGTAGCACAACTAAGCCCTAAGAAAGTAGATAAACATTCTATTAGCATGGTGAGGATTATATTTAAGTCTGTCTCCTTAGACGTGACCATTCTTTGACTCTGTTTTTAATGCAGTTCAGTGGACTATGCTTAGCACTTGATGCAAAACCTCCCAGTGACTTCAGTGGGCTTTGGCTCAGGCCCTTGTTGCTTAATCTTACTTGTGTTCATTCACAGCGTCAATGCACACATGCTGGAATATAATGATCTTGAACTCACTTTTCTGTGCCACATAAGGGCTTGCAGACTTAGGGCATTAGTGTGAATTTTGCCTGTGTAATTTCTTAATGGGGCTCTTTCTAATAACTTCCTTAATTTCTTTACATTATAGGCACAGCTGTATCCTTTGCGGGTTTTTCCATTTTAAAACTCACTCTACAATGAGCAGCTTTTCTTGTTCCTTTCTGACATTTAGTCTATAATTATCCCACACAAACACCTATTGATGTTAATGGGGCCACTTTGCTATTTATAAAGTCAAGTGACTACATTTGTTCTTGGGAGTGACGTTGCTAGTCTTAAAGTAATGAACAATTTGAATGATCTGAAATCAAAGATAGGAGTGAAACTTTGTAAATTAGCTGGACAAACTTTTTACTAGTGGCTTCTAAAAGTTTTAAAATATTCTATTTAGTTTTTATTCAGTTATTGTCATGGGCATCAACAGATGACACTGATCACTATTTTAGAAGGGTGTAGTATAAATACATTCTGAGGGAAAAATAATTTTCCCCTCTGTCATAAATATTCTTAGTTATAGGGCACAACATGCCACGTGTCACTGTATGACCAAAGAGCCACAGATTTCTGATTACATTAAAAAGAGTAGGGACTGTGAAATAGATGTGTGTGTGTGGGGGTAATTTCTTTAATTCAAATGACTTTTGTACTCACTTTAATTTTTCTAGCATTTTTGTCCAGAAAGACATTTTAAGTGGCATAAAACGAGGCTTGAATGAGCTAGAAGCAGATTTCGCTAACATGACGTCAGCTCAGTGGACTGCCTTGTGACACAAACCAAGAGAGAAATCACTTGTGCACTAGGACCCTGATCCTGCAGACTTATGTACATGCTAAAGTTTGCGCACTGTGAATAGTCTCAGACTCCCTTTGAAGTCAGTGGGGCTATTCATAGTGTAAAACATCTAAGCCTTTGCAGGCCTGAGACCACGATGTTGATGTCAGTAAAACAACATGTGTGTTTTGTTGTAACACTGCAATTGGTGTAAACTTTGGTATCCAGAACCACACCATGTGGTTGCCCACATTTTACTCGTCATATGTATTTTTAACCATTCTGTAGGCTCATTTTCAACCCAGTAGTTTGCAGTTATTAAAATGTTTGTTAGAAGTTGGAAACGTGCCATGTAGGTCCTGGAAGTTAAGAGAGAGGTTGTTTTTTTTTTTCTAAAAATCATAGAATTATTTGAACAAACTCCCATAGACACTTGTCCTTTTTACACTTCTGTCTTCTGAAATAAAAGCATAAGAAATCAATTCAGCATGTTTGAGATTTAGGGTTGATTTATACTGACTTCAATGGAGCGATGCTGATTTACCAGGTACCGCTGTTTAGACTTACCACTATTTTAAGATGAACAGTTCTGACCCATAGAAATTACAGAAAATCCTAGCAGGTCATTTTATTCCCTCTCTCCCAGGAACAGGTTAGTTGCACAGGATATTTTTAGTGCTTTCTTATTCAGCATGGTCCCAGTAAAACTCTCCCCTTGCTGGTTTAAACTCTTCTAAATATGCTAATATCACGGTCTGGTGGGAAAGGCTGGGAAACTTAACCCAAAACTGGACACCATCAGATAAAAATGTGGAAACAGAAAGAGAGGAGACACGTGGGTTATGCTGATTTGAGGGAAGCACGTCCAGGACTGAATAAGAGGATCAGAAATAAAAAGTTAAGCATCTCTCTGCCTTCACCTCCATAACAAGGCTGATTGAAGCAGACATGTCTGGACTTGATTGCTCAGAGGCCAGCTCACACTCTAATGGTTCTGCACCACTTCTGGGCTTTCTCCCTCCCTTTCATCCACCACCCTCAACAAGCTGCTATTCTCAGGAGTGATGTCAAAAAGGAGAAGATTGATCAGAAGACAAAATTGCCAGCAATCTTTCTGATCCTTCAGGCATGGAGCAGAGTTGAGCCCAAAGATTGAGTCTGGAAGAGCCACTGGGGGTCAGCAAGGTGTTTTTTAATCATTTTTTGTTTTACATAAGAAAATAAGATTGTATTTAGCCAATAATAAAACAAAGACTTGCAAAGTTTGTGGAGCCAAAAGGAACTGACATTCTATTTGTTGAGCAGACGCCAGCTGCAGGGTACTTGGTGGTGACTGTTGCACATTCTGGACTAGTCTGTAGCCAGAGAAGATAGAGGGGAGCTGTCACTTAAGCACCAAAAAGTAAGTTGTCCAGCCAGCCAGGAGCAGTGCTCCAATCAGCACCGTGTAACTGAACAGCACGAAGGCCAGGAGCTCCTTCAGCACTTTCAGGAAGTGGACAGCGAAGGACTCCTGCATGGTTCGTCCAAGCACCACAAGCCAGATGGGATTTCTGCGGTTGTCTCACACTCTGCTCCACACTAAAGTATCCTGATCTGAAAGGAAGAGAAATAAAGGGGAGGATGAGCCATTCTGAGCAGGCACTTGCAGAGCTGAGGGAGAGCCTGCTAATTGCATGTAGAAATGTCTGGATTCAGGTAGCTTCTGGTGGTGGTGTATAAACAAAGTCTGTGGACACTATAGTTTGTCAGAAGCTTTTTAATTGCCAGGGGAGAGTGTAAGGCCAGGACAGTGGCTGTGTATTTGGAAAGTCTTTTCCAGAGTTTTCAGGATGTGTAGTGCTGAAAGGAGCTGCAGGAGCTGATCACAAACCAGGTTAAGACTGGGGTGGGGTGAGAGAATGGAAGAACCAAGCAAGGTTAAAAATATATGTGGGTGGACTAGGGCAGGGGCAGGCAGTTGAGGTCCCAGTCAGTTCCAGGAATTATTCCCTTCTGTCAGTTGATATGTGGCTGGCGAGCTTTGTATTTAGAGCATTCGCCGATGGTGCATTAGTACCAACAAAAAGCTCTAATCAAAGTGGTCAATTTCTCCAGAGAAGCCACTGTTAATATTTAATGTTATAATTGCTTCTAATGGACAGACGGGCACAGAACAGGCTTTTTGTTTCGGATCAGGGGAAGATTTGGGATTAAAGATAAATTTATTTATCTGAAAGCTTCATAACTCCTGTTAAAATAACCTTTTTTTAAAGGGGAAAGGATAAGATGTTTTAAACTTCTTTCCTCCCCAGTTAAATATATATTTGTGCATTGCCCAATCAGTTGCCACCAGTTAGTGAACTTTGTGTAAAATCTCAACATAATTGCAATAGCTGTTTGCTACTTAGGCTTTTAAGATGTAAGTCAGATATGTAAGGAATCCTATTCCCATCTCCACTTGCATGTTCACTGACCCTTCATCAGAAAATTACCAGAGCAAAAAGATTTGTACCTTTGTATGCATGACCAAAAGGAAAATGAAACTAGGTTTAGGATAATACTAACCAAAAAGGATTATTTTTCTTCCAAATAGTATACCTCCAGTTGGAGCAAACTGAATTCCATCCTACCACTTAACGAAAGAGTGATTAATTAGAAACATGAAGTGAAATCTAAACAGCAGCTTTCAAATATATATATTTTGTTTTAATGTTTTTTTTTAAACTCCCCACACCCCACGCTATGGTCAGGTGTATTAATGTGTTATGGAAAATACTGCAAATTAACAAAAATTCTGTTAGATGTAGTTTTTCAGAGTATGGAAGTTATTTACTAACCAATGTTTTACATCATTCTCATTATAGAACAAAACATATGTTGACAAAGAGATACATAAATGGCTTACCGTGGGATAGATGACTGGATTTACTTCTTGAAGTTTCTGTTTCTATCTGCTTTTGTTCTGCAGCTTTCTCTTGAATTTCTGGCTTCTAAAAGGTTGGTGCTGTAGTTTGATCCCCTTCTGGTCTGCTAATCCGAAGAGTCAGGAGTAATGAGGTTGTATTTACAGCCTGCACCAGTACTAATGGACTAGGTGTGGTCAGAGACCAATTATTATATCTGACATAGACCCTTTGCTTTCTCTGTGCTGACAGCACAACAGTACAGAACAATCCAACCATTGGTATTGCCATAAATCCTAGGGAGATTTTTGATGTGAACAATATATTGTATATTTTAAAATGCGTTAAACTCCCCGCCTCCCAGTTATGTCATCTAACACTGCTTTTGTAAATATCCTTATTTTTTCTACATCACATCTTAGGCTCATCTGCTTCCTCTTATTTCACCAGTTTCCCATGTTTTTGGAGACTTTATTGTGCATATTCTGCTTTTTGTATAATTTTCTGCTCTTAACAGCCCTGTTCTCACAGAGGGACCATTAAAGAAGGAGGAGGATGATACTGGAGTGGAACTGGTGAATCTCTTAAGATCAATAGGACATGACCAGATGGATGCCTGTAGATCTAGTTAGGCCCTGTTATCAAAAGTGATGGATGAAGATAGGCTTATCTCTGCAATATCACCAGTCCAGTTCTGTACATACTGTATTTCACATATCCACACCACAGAATCTCTGCCTCTGAGAGAGAGACTGCTTGGTTTTTTAAATGACAGAAAAAATGTCAAGATGTCAGTCTAGTCTCAGTGAATTGGTTACTAATAATCCTATTTAAAAGGTAAAGGTTGTTTGGGTTGGCTTTTAAACAACCAGACATATATGCAGCTCAGAGCAGCAAGAGCATCTCCTGCAAAGCAAATCTCTTACCTACTGAGACATTATGCTCTAGCAAATGGCCTCTTAATTTAATCAGGATTTCTTGTTATCAAATTATTACCCCGTGGTCAGAAAGACCTTAGCTAGAAGGGAACATAAACAAGCTCAGGAAGCTTATTAAGAAGTAATTGCTCCCCGGGAGATGTGGTCAACTCCAGGCTTTGTTTCTTGTTGTTTCTAGGAAGAGACCCTGTAGCTGCTGGGTCTGTGTAACTGTCAGTCTAGCTGCTAGTTGTGATGTCCCTTCAGAAATGCTATGCTGACACACGGTGCTCTTTCTGGCCAAAGTTGAAGTTCAATTTGATACGCAGGTTAAAAATATTTTCTTAGGAAACAAGTCCAGTTACTAACTAGTTAGTACAAATGAAAAAGGTAAATAATCTAGCACTTCTTGTTTAACTATTTATGCTATTACCTTTTACGTTTCACTTGGCTTGGCTAGTAAAACCAGATTAGTCAGTTTTAGTCTTCTCTCTCCTCGGTTTTGTTCTCTCTGTCTCAGGCAGTATCAAAATGATGCAGTATTACAGGAGAAAATGTATATCCAAATGAAAGAAAAGTCCATTTAAATAATAAAATGATGAAAGTCTATTGAGGAACTGTCAATTTGATTTTTTGTTTAATCACTAAACCTAACCTCACTGTTGTCACTTTATACTCAAATATACTAGCAAAGATAAACTATAAACGTGTTTGTATATGGTTAAAAGTGTAAGGCAAAGAACTTTGCAGTGGTGCAATATGTAATTCTTTATGGCTTGATTTTCAAAGGTGCTGAGTATTGATTCCAATACTTTGGGAAATCAGCCCACTATTCTGTAATACGATATAAGGCGTCACTGTGACAGCTGCTTTATTATTGGGGAGCTCATGCATACCTGAGGTAAGAACAATCAAGTGATAAGTTTCCCGTTCATTTTTTTTTACATACTTTAAAAAGTCAAATGTTCCTTGAAATTAAATACTTACCAAAGAAATAAAAATGTGAAATATGAGTATATTACTAGTATGGAAGAAAGCTAGGGGCAGGTCTACACTACAGCCAGGATCGATGCTCTGAGATCGATCCACCGGCAGTCAATTTAGTGGGTCTAGTACAGACCCACCAAATTGACTGCAGATCGCTTTCCAGTCAACCCTGTACTCTACCCCCCAACGAGAAGAGTAAGGTAAGTAGACGGGAGATTTTCTCCCGTCTGCCCCCCGCGGTGTAGACCCCGTGGTAACTCGACCTAAGGTACGTCGACTCCAGCTACATTATTCACACAGCTGGAGTTGCATAGCGTAGGTTGACTTACTGCAGTAGTGTAGACATAGCCAAGATCTTGGCTAAGCAGTTTCACAGATTTTTCTCCCATCAACCACCGGGGTGTAGACCCCACCGTAACTCGACCTAAAGTACGTTGACTCCAGCTACGTTATTCACGTAGTTCGACTCACTGTAGTAGTTGAGCTACATGAATAACATAGCTGGAGTCAATGTACCTTAGGTCGAGTTACCGGGGGGTCTACACCCTGGGGGGTTGACGGGAGAAAAATCTCCCATTGGCTTACCTTACTCTTCTTGTCAGGCGTAGAGTACAGGGGTCGACTGGAAAGTGATCTTCAGTCGATTTGGTGGGTCTTTACTAGACCCACTAACTCTACCACCGGTGGACTGATCTCAGAGCGTTGATCCCGGCTGTAGTGTAGACCTGCCCTTAGTAAAGTCGTCTGTTTCTGCTTGAAGAATACATGCACTAAAGGGAGGATTTGGTTAAATATTAGGGTTTGTTTCACAAATGTTCACTGAACTTCAATTTAAAATAAGCAAATGTAGCAGAACATAGAATGTTCATCTAAAAGACAAGGTTTGTGATTAGATCCCAATTCAACAAGAAATTGAGACTATTTAAAGGATTAACAAGACTATAACTATGGGGTTGGAGACAGGTACGTGCCCCATGAAAGAGGGTGAATTCTAAAGCAGGAGACATTGTTAAGGCAAGAGTATCTTCTGAAAATGGCTCCCATTTTTTGGTCATTTTAATAGTTTGGAATTTTCAGAAGAGTTAAGGGAGGTTGATTTTAAACATTCTTCTGATATTTATTTTACAAGGTTTATTTACCATCCCTCTCTTTCAAAAGGAAAGAGCTTCCCCTCTGTTGAACTGGACTACATCTTGGGCTTGAGCCTGCAAAGTGCCATGTCTAGCAAAGCACGCAGGCATGTACTTAACTTTAGGCAGAGGCTGTAGTACCCCTGAAATCAATGAGACTAAGTACATGTTTAAAGTTAAATCTGGGTTTAAGTGCTTTGCTGTGTCAGGCAAATGTGCTCAGCACATGGTGGGAATAAGCCTGTTCTAAAGTGCTGCATGTTTGCCCAGATTTCTGGGCCAAGCTATTAAAATCACTCCAAATCTGAATGAATTTCCAGTAAAATGCTCTGCTATTTTTCCAGTTAAAGCAGCAGCAAATGTAGTTGGGCACAAAGGGTATGATGGTGAGCTTGAAAGAAACACCTGGATATTCTTAAGAGAGAGACTGGTTTGAACTTGACCTCCAGCTGCATTAGTAACACGGGAATACGGCTCATTATGAATTCAGGGACGCTAGGTGAATCACCGAGGAGAATTAATCCAGCTCCCCTAAACTCAGGGGGTGTCAAGCACCCTCTGCGCTTGAAATGGGGGCTGACGCTACTCAGCACTTCTCAAGTAGGATGCCTAGTGCAGTGTTTCTCACACGTGGCCACTACGGGCTTGGCTTGCGGCCACAGCCTCCTGGGCAGTGATGGGGGGTGTGTGCAAAGCAGTGGTCCCACCCACAGGGCCACGAGGTTGGACCCTGCTCCCCTCTGGAGAGACAAATGCTGGAGGAGCAGACAGCTAGTGGGTTCCCCACCTTCCTGGGGACCAGTGGTGGCCAACCTGCAGCCCGCAGGCTGCACATGGCCCCTCAGGATAATCCACTGGCAGGCCTCAAGACAGTTGGTTTACATTGACCGTCTGCAGGCACAGCTCCCAGTGGCCCTGGTCCTCCCTCAGACAATGCAGCCCTTTCACAGCTTTGAAACAGAGTAGCCAGCGCTGGCGATGATGCAGGAGGCAGAATGGAATCCAGCTCAGATGGTCTCGCGGCCAGTCCGCAGCTTACCCTGATGGGCTATGTGTGGGCTGCAGGTTGCCCACCACTGCTGGGGACGGTAGGATCAGGGTCCAGCTCCGGGGTGGTGGGCAGCAGGCTCTGGCCATGGGGCTCCAACCCCCATCTGCGGGGCTCGCCTTCCTAGCGCCCCTACCAGCCCATTATGTCCATCCCCCCTCCCTCCCCCATTCCAGCACTTGCCCCCTACTGACCTCCCCATCTAAGGCTTAATTTGTCCCCAGGCTTGCCAGGCCTGAGTAAGTCTGCTGCTGTGAAAAGCGATATCAGTATGTTTGTTAATAACACTTTTCACAGCAGCAGACTTACTAGCTAGCAAGTCTTTAAAAACGCAAACAACAAAGCAAAAGAAACAACAAAAAAGCCCAGAACCCACACAGCACCTTCTTTGGGTTTCTATTTGGTTTAGGGCCAGTAAAGAATAGTGACAACTACATTATTTTTATTATTGAGGCTGCAAAAAGATTCAGTAAATTACAATGATTTGGATATGTGTATGTGCCTATTTAGGAAAAATAAATAAGTTAATGAAATAGTTTAGGAAAAATTTGTCAGTGCGGCCACCAGCATGCGTTCGTAGCCTCCCTCTGAGGCCACCAAAAAATGTATTGTGAGAACCCCGGCCTCCTGCATTACAAGGGCTCTAAAGGAGCATGAGTTTGTCAGCTTCTTCTTGTTAATCAGTCCTTGGTGGTTAGGAGATAACAAATGAGTATAGTAACACTAGCTGGCCTCTAACCTGTGCTGTTGTTTAAGCAGATACACAGTCCTATACAGTACAGAATCATTGCATACAAGTGGGTTGTAGCCCACCAAAGCTTATGCTCTAATAAATTTGTTAGTCTCTAAGGTGCCACAAGTACTCCTGTTCTTTTTGCGGATACAGACTAACACGGCTGCTACTCTGAAACCTACAATTGTGTTGTATCTTTTTCTCTTTTACTGCTCACATGGGCTGGAGGCTTCCAGCAGCCCCTGTGTCATTATTTACTATGGATTTACATACTTATTGCAGCTTACTGGCTGTGGGCATTGCAATAGCTCTTCAGGTAACAGGGAGCTTTCTAGAACCTTGTATGTAAGGACAAACTAAAGGGAAAGAGGCTGTATTTGAGGAATGTAAGTGACTTCTACCGCTGAGGCTCTCCCTGTGTTTTTATTATTAGTTTACAAACCCAGCTGTTTAATTCTAGCAGGGCATTGATGACATAGCCAGAAAAAACAGATTCAGTGTGTACAGTGCAAGCTACTGCTACAATAGCTAGGCAAAGGGACCTGGGCAATGGACGAAAGAAGCCAGAGACTATCATTCCCTCTAAAGCAGTGGCTCTCAAACTTTTTTTTACTGGTGACCCCTTTCACATAGCAAGCCTCTGAGTGCGACCCCCCCCCCATATAAACTAAATCACTTTTTAATATATTTAACACTATTATAAATGCCAGAGGTAAAGCAGGGTTTGGGGAGAAGGTTGACACCTTGTGACCCCCCCTCTCATAACCTCATACCCCCCTGAGGGGTCCCAATCCCCAATTTGAGAACCCCTGTGATAAAGGTGGATAGACAGCAAGTGAGTTTGCAATGGGAATAATCTCCCCCCCCCCCCCCCCATACAACCAAGCACAGCTGAACTACATTTAGTGCTGGGCCACTACCCTTGAACAGATACTGAAGAGAGGAAAGTAACAAATATTGACAGGTGACTTACATCCATACCTGCTCACCAAAGCTAGAAGAAAGGGGTGAGAGTAGGAATAATAGCATGACATTAAGAAAGGGAGAACTAAAGGCAGCAAGAAAGATTATGGGATAGTCTCCGTTGGTTGAGGCTTTGGTGATTTAAAAGACACTAGAAAAATTGTCAGTGGGCCAGATCTGACAGCATAACAACAAGAGTCCCTTTTAAGTGCTATGATTTTCTAGTTCAGACAGCAACAGCTCTAATACTGGTTTTTATTTCCTCATATTCCTCTCTGGCAGAGTCACGCGATTATTAGGGAAGTTCCGTATGTAACAGAAATAGAACAGAGAGCAGAGTGCAGCCACTGCATGCACTGGTGCAAACGTGATTTCATGTTCTCCAGCTGCAGTCGTTTCTGAAGGCCCAATGCCGGCCTTAAGCATTTGATTGGATCTTTACATAGCTTCTAAAAAGGTGGGGGCTCCAGTTTCTCCATCAGGGATTTGATCCAGTTTGTGCCATTGATTAGTTTAGTGGTGGCAATGACATATTCTGTGCCTCCGTCTTCCATCTGAGAAAGAAACCTCAGTGCAGCAATTTCAGCGTACGTCACGCCTCCCAGAAAGAACACCAAAGTTACTCTGTTTTCTCCCTGTTGACCTGAACATTTATAGAGATAGTTACAAACGGGACTGGTGCTGAAAGGACAGTTTTATTCTGAACTTACCCTAGGGTCAAACTGAAGCACAGATTTCAGTCAAATTACTAAGTGATATGGAGCTGTGGATAGAGCACTTAATGGGTTTTATTTCTGGCTCTGCCAGTGACCTTAAGCAAGTCACTACTTCTCTGTGGCTCAGTTTCCCTATTGTAAAATGGAGATAATACCTCCTTTGTAAATACTATGAGATTTACTGATGAAAAGGGCTATACATTACAAGAGCTAGGAATTATTTCTACCACCTTAGGGCAACGCTCAAAGGCAGCTCTCTGTACTGAAGTTGGGAAGATAATATACCAAGAATTACTAATCAAATGAACTGTACAGATGGATGCTGTCAGTCACTACATCAGACTCTGTAAGTGAATTTAACAGGAGAACTGTCCCAGACTAATCAAGTTACTCCAAAGAAGCTCACGCTTTTTTTGAAGGCCAGTAGGTAACTGCTGCCTCTCTTCAAAGTGGGGTCCTGGGAGCATCTTTAAAACTTCTTCTATGCTACGCCAGCCTGGGCGAGCGAGCAGCTGTGCCAGACGCACACTTA